TAAAGCTTGGTGACCGAAAGAATATTCTACTAAGTAAAACCATTATTAGTTTAAAAGTTTGTAAAGCTTTTTCCTAGCAAAGGTAAGTGAGGAATGTTAGATAAACTAGATCCGAACTAAGCACTGAACTTTCAGAGGAAGAAAAGGATCCATCATCGAGAGATGTCTTTTCTAGTCTTAAATATCACTAAGTAGATATTTTTGAGCCAATGCCTCTTACAAGATTTAGAAAACCTTTTTGTAGACATTCATAGTGAGGAACATATGGGACTTTCATACACTTCATCTTGTCTTTAGCCATCCCATCTGTGTGGTAGATGAGCCTAATTTTAGACATCCTAAAGAACGATTACATCACTTGTTCCAATCTTTATTTTCTCCCACTAGAAAATTCATTATATCTTAAGTTCCACATGGTAATTGTTTTGTGTACTGACATCTATGAACTATAAAACCAAAACCCACTGCCGTCAAGTGGATTCCAACTCATAGTGACCATACAGGACAGAGTAGAACTGCCCCATAGTGTTTCCAAGGCTATAAATCTTTAGGGAAGCAGACTGCCACATTGGAGCCCTAGCGGCACAGTGTTAAGAGCTACAGTTTCTAACCAAAAGGTTGGCAGCTGCTCCTTGGAAATCCTATGGGGTAGTTCTACTCTGCCCTATAGGGTCGCTGTGAGTTGGAATCGACTCCACGGCAATGGTTTTTTTTTTTTTTTTCCTCCTGTAGAGTGGCTGGTGGGTTCAAACGGTGGACTTTTTTGGGTTAGCAGCTGAGCGCTTTAACCACTGCACCACCAGGGCTACCTCCTATGAACTATAGTTACAAAAAATCTTTCTGTAGTTAAAAATGCTGGAGTAAAATGGCTCATTAACAGTTGATTAGCAGAAATAGGAATGATTATTTGGTCAATATGAGTAGCTTATTCCTTCTTTGAGTAATAAAGTAGAAATAAACTTACAGCCAATTTAAAGGAGTGACCAATCTAAAGTTTTTTCTGAAAACACACACTAGAAGTCGTCATAATGTGATAGGAATGGAAAAGGCTGACAGGGTCATGTGTGTTATCAGCAAGTAGAAAAGTCCACGAGTCAGACCAATCTGTGGGGCCAATTCTGAGTCAAGAGCTCCTTCAGCACGCTGCATTGCAGCTGTTAATCATATGTAATATTAGTAACATTTAAAATGCACAGAGGCTTGCTGGTAGCTAATAATTTTGAAAAGCAAACCACAATCCTTTGCCTGGAGTTCAACAAAACCAGTTTAAAAAAAAAAAAATCAAGGCTTTGTCTCCATGGAATGTTTCCTAAATTTTAAGGCTATTAGACAATCATGCCTTCAACAAACGACTTGTTTTCAGTTTGTTGCTCAGCATGGTTGTCTTCTCACATACTACCGTCCTAAATGGGCTACATTTATTTCCTTGAGGACACCAGCAATGAGAATCTGGCACCAGTTGCTGGCACACTCAGCGACTGGATCAGCTGAGGAGTGCTATTCCTGAGGGTTTGAAATTCTAAAAATTGTAAATCTCTCGTTCTTGTAGTTGCTGATTTAAGCACAAATTTGTTCTGTAAACAGTCTCTTGGGATCTATTGTTCTGCATTTAAAGTTTGTTTAAGGATGACAGGCTCCTGTGAAACCACCCAAATGTGTGGATACTGAGCGGTGACAAGGGCTCTGGAGAGTCTGTCCTGGCTTTGAGCATCAGAAATCCTTTTCTTGGTTTCCAAGGGGTTGCAGCTCCTTGCCCCTGCCGGTCCAGGTGACAAAGAAGTACACAAATGTAGTGGGAAAAACTGGAAACCACCCAGATGTCCTTCAACCAGTGAATGGATACATCCATAAAATGGGATACTACTCAGCAATGAAAAGAAACAAACTTGATACATGCAGCAACATGGACGAATCTCAGATACTTTTTGCGAAGTGAAAGAAGCCACACCCAAAATACTACATACTGGAAAAAGCAAAACTATAGGCATTGAGAACAGATCTGTGGTTGTCAGTGGTTGGGGATAGGAGGAGGCATTGACTACAAAGGGGCAGCATGAAGGAATCTTTTTGGGATGATGGAACTGTTCTGTATTCTTGATTGTGGTGGTGGTTAAACAACTCTAAGCATGTGTCAAAACTCCTAATTGCACACTATAAAGGATTTTACTGTATGTAAACTAAAAAACATGTTATCAGAGAGTCAGGATGATGACCACTTGGCGGAGTGGTAGTGACTAGGAATGAGCTGAGGGGCTTTCTGGGATGTTGGCCATATTCTGTTTTTTGAGCTGTGTGCTGGTTACATGGGTCATGTTGTTTTGTGAAAATTTGAGGTATATGTACTCATAATATATACATTTCTGTATGTTGTACTTCAATAAGGAGTTAAAAAATACCGCCAAAGAGAATTCCAGCCATCACTGTTCCCTGGTCTCCTTCCCCTAATTCTGGCCATCATCTCTTCACTACTACTATAGACAATAGAGACCACTAGAACAATCGTGTGAAACTCTTTCTCAGTCAGGTTTGGGAACTGTTCTCAAAAAAATTGTTACTTGGTCACCAATTCTGTTTACAATGCTGTTTAGCAGACCAGGATTTATTGTTTTGCCAGCTCTTGGATAACCACATTTGAGAATGGGATGGGGAAAGAGCTGGTGGTGGAAAGTCAATGAGAAAGTAGTCAATAATTAGCAAGTATTCTATTCTTAGTCAACACTGAAGGAAAATGTATTTTATCTGGGTGATTTAAGTAATCTTTGCCACTCTATTGTCATAGGCCTGTTTCTAGATTCGAAACAATCACTATATGAAGAATTGCTACGGACTGTTGGGTCTTGGACTGTACAAAGATAATAAGGATGGCTTATGAAACCTTGGAGATGTCTTCCATGTTTAAGGTTGGGTTAGGGTTGTTGCTAGGTACCATCGAGTCAACTTTTGACTCATACTGCCTCCATGTGACAGAGTAGAACTGCTCCATAAGATTTTCTTGGCTCTAATCTTTCCAGAAGCAGATCGCAAGGTCTTTCTCCCGTGGAGCCAAACTTTCAGTTAGCAACTGACAGCTTAACCATTTGCACCACCAGGGGTCTTTTTGGGTTAGGGTAGGTCACAAGTTACAGCATCTCTGACAAAAAGTAGGGATACTTGGAAAAAGAGATAGGCAAACATAATTTTAGGGGCTAAATTGTAAATAATTTAACTAAGAGTCTGTCAAGGGAGATTTCTCTACGGTTATGAATGGTAGAGCCTATTCTCATGGTCTTCTGCCACCAACCATGAACATATTTCAGAGTAAGGGGAAAAATAGGTATTCAGTGTCAGTATCCGATGCTGTGATAGGTGCTTTGTACACACTCCTTTATTTAACCCTTATAACAATCCTGCTAGGTAGTTATTCAAACTCACTTAAATTATGGCAAAATTAAGGCTCAGGTTAATCCACATAAGGGAAGCTGAAACTTAATTCCAGGTTTCTGATTCCAAAGGAAAGGGGAATTAACTTTCAGAATATACTAAATGCTAGCCCCCGTTACTTGTATCATTGATCCTTAAAATATCTCCGTTTTACCGATAGGCCAACAGTAAGAGAGATGTGACCTGCCCAAGCTCAGTTATATAACCATTAAGTGACAGACTTGGCATTCAAATCCAGATCTTATTCCACAACCCACTTTCTTTATATCATAGTACACTGTTGCCAAAGCCAGTGACAGCACTGGAGAGATGGCATCTTACACTGGACAAAGATACCGGATGACTTAAACTTGGGTCAGAAAAATGACATTCATACTTGATGTCTTTCAAAATTCAAACACCTTAAAATCATTCACTTACTGGTATTAATACTTTCTTCTAATCAGTAATTCAAACCTCCAGGGATTGACTGACTAACTTCAGCTCCCAGCATGGGAGGAAAAGGAGCTGGAGTGGTAGAAAAACCACTGTTCCAGGAGCCAGCTGTTAAAGGTCATGTTCTTGGCTCTGGATTTGCAGAGTATCCTGGGGTTTCATTTCACCACCTGTAAATTATGAATGTTCAAGGCCAGAGACTCTTGTAACTGTTTGCCCTAATACTTCAGAAAACAAATGCCATCAAATTGCCATCTTTGGAGTTTAAATACTACAGTGGTTTAGCAGGGATTTACTAACCAGAGCATATTCTGCCGACAGAGCTCTGCAAGTCTGCTTCCTTCCATGGTTTAGGGCAGAGCCCTGGGTGGACAGGAAAGTAACCAGAAATGTGTAGCCACATTCGAAGGCATTTTTTCTTTTTGCTAACATAAGGATATTAAGAGACATATTAAAAATACAGGCTAGTTCAGAATTCTGTGTTAGAATAGCAGACTTTTTTCTAATGAATACCGTTCCAATTCTAAAGAGGTTTATCTTTGTATGTCACTGTGACAGTGACGGGCTGACTTGTTTCCTGCCCAGGAAAACCCTTTTGAGCTGTGGTGGGAGTGGCTTCTTTTATGAGTTTGTCCTCACTGATTGACTCTGGGCAAGGACTTCCATCTCTTTCCTTATCTGTAAAGGGGTACAGAAACTAGCTAATGTAAACTCATGGTGCCTTATAAGGCTGAAAAATGAGGAGCATGGTGTATAGGAAAGAATGGGGGCCCGGGGCAGAGAGACTTGGATAGGAATCTATGTATCTCAAGCACTTGCTAAATCATCTTGGAAAAGTGATTTCACTTAAGCCGCACAATGGGACTAGTAGTAACACCTCAAAAAAAAATTTCTTTTTAATATTAATAGTATACTTAAAGTGACTGCCGTATAGCAGTACTCAGCAATTGGTAATTTTATTAATAATTTTAATAAATAATAAAATCACTAATTGCTGAGTACTACTACACAGCAGCCACTTGAAGTATACCACACAATCTAGAAAGAACCCTGGTGGTGCAGTGGTTAAGAACTCAGCTGATAACCAAAAGGTTGGCAGTTTGAATCCACCAGCTGCTCCCTGGAAACAGTTCTACTCTGTCCTATAGGGTTGCTGTGAGTCAGAACGACTCAACAGCAATGGATTTTTTTTTGGTTTTATACAATATAGAAAGCTGCATGAAAGTCAGTATTATAAAAAATCACTTAACAAGGATATCCAGAAAGCAGTGTGACAAAGATATTTTAACACATAAACATTTTATAACTGCTTGATATTTTATAATGTGACTATTCAGAAAATACTTCAGAACGGCTTACGCTGAAATCTTGCTGCAAAGTGACTTCTGGGACTCTCCTAAAATCATTCTACAATTTCCTTTTTAGTATGCTCATGTTTGGCAATAGCCCACTACATTTAGTGTAACGGCAATATTATATTCTTCAATGTGTCACCATACTCAATTCCAAAACCCAAACATTTTTATTATGTTGCCTAATGGCTCTTGAATTCAGATGATAAATTACATGATGTACCCAACTGTTCCAAGAAAACACTAGCTTGTAAAATGATGTTTTCTTTCAGAATCAAGACACACTCAACATATAAATTTTACAATAAAGTTTATTAGCTGTTCTCCTCTTTCTCATAAATGGAATGGATACTGTTGATAATTGTTCACAAACCAGTGCTCATTTTAAGAAACATTATATAATGAGGAGGTTGTCAAAAACACATATTTAATAAACAACTTCAAAAAGCAACGGGAAGCCAAACAATATTATTAATGTAAAGGACCAGAGAAATTGATTTCTGAAGTCATTTCTACCTTTCACTAAAATTTCTTATGATTGCTCAGCACCAAGATGTGTGCAACTCTAGTGCAGAGCAGCTACGTGAGATGAAAGGTGTACAGTCAGAGGGGAAACACACACGTGAGTGGAGTTTTTGCCTGTTTTCCTATTAGTGAAGGGGGGAGGGCTGGAAGGAAAGGCGGAGGACTGAAACCAAACCCAAAACACAAGAACAACAACAAAAAACAGGAACCATTTGAAAACTTTTGTAGAAAAGAGGAGAACATGCCCATACTTTTACTTGTAATCTAATTTCCCCCAAAGGTTTCTCCCCACAACCACCGTACCCCTATTTTCAGTTCACATGATTAAGGAAAGATAAACTCTAAATCAATTTAATTTATAAACAAAACAAAACAAAACAAAAAGTTAGGAGTAGGTGGCAAAAGAAAAAATATATTTTAAATATATATATATGCGCGTGTGTGTGCAACTATGTAAAGAAAATAATTCCCATAGTTAGTTTAGTTAAAGAAAGTTTTATATATATTTATATATATATATATATTTTATTATAACAAAATAGGCAGTTATTGTGGGTAAAATATTCATTAAAATCTGACCCCTAAGAATACATTTAACGTTTTAGGCTATGAATTGGACTCCTTTTCCATTGCCATAATGATTACTACATCACCACTGTAGAGTCTGTTTTGTCTATATTTATGTTTATGAAATTTTCTCACTTTCCATGTAAAAGGCAAGCACCCCCTAGCACCTAATACGGCCTCAGTTCAGAAAATACGATGATCATTCGCTATAAACAACTTCTGTAAGACACTAGAGTGTTGCACAAGTAGATTAAAATCAATTGAACATTGTTATTCCTAGCAAATGTATGGGAGAAAAAAAATCTCAAACAATAACAGACTTCAAGAAGAACTCTTATGAGAAATGAATATCCCTTGTGAAATTATGAAAGTTAATTCAGACACTGATTTTGAAATTAAAAAACATTTTCCTTATTTGTCGTAATGAAATATTTACTTTGATAATAGAAGTCAATTCAGAAAAGGAGTTGAGAGCTAACTCACTGGCCAAACCATGCTATTAAAAAGTTAAACGTGCATAGCTGCTCAAAGTTTATTAAATCACTGATTAAGACCACTGTTCTCCCATTTCTATTGAAATTTGAAAAGAATGTATATAAAGCTTTCCTGAAAATCTCTTAAAGTTACTTTCCCTTAAACATTAAGGAATTTTACCACAATTTCCCCGTCTCCCCAAAACCTTAATAGCTGGCCAGGCCACTCCATCTTCAGTTCTGAAAAATGGCCACAAACCAATAGTGACATAAGATAACACAGATGATGCAACTGGAAGGAGACATCAGATGTCAAATGTGAGTGCACCTGCAGACCATGATGAGCGGGATATGGTTCCACATGGAGGAGGATTAAAGACAGACTCCAGAAAGAAAGGGCAAAAAAGTGTCAAATAAAGGAAATGAGACTGGAAAAGAGAAACAGAGAAACATCAGTCCTCATAACTTTTCTTTTGCTGGAACCCAGATGTAAGGGCCAGACTGTTCTTCTATGATCTGCTTCACTTGGTTGTAAATGTCTTCCAGCGTATCTCCCTGTACAATGGCTGTAATGACAGAAACAAAATCAGAAACTTCCATTGTCTATCTTTGCCATTACAATTACTAGTGAAACAGTAGAAGTTAAATCTTAAAGAGAGTTACTCATCCAGGGAGAGTCACCCATTTTTATATTATTTACTTAGAAAACACTGCCTGTTTCATTAATTTTCCTATTTGTATAATACAATTTTGTTTTGAAAACTGATCAAAAATTGAGATTATGGTGATTATTACCTTGTCTTATTGTTTTATTAATCACCTGAGCATGTATTATCTTTACTCTTTAAAAAAATTATATAAGTATTTCTATAACTTTCCTAATTTCTCCATAAGTATATACAAGGGAAAAGAAAAAAAACAAACAAAATGGGTACAGTACAGAGCATGGCTACTTTTTTGCTTTATTTTTGGGGGTAGGATTTTAGGGACAAACAGCTGATAAAGGATTATTTGATACTCTTTTCTTCAGTATGCTAGTAATTGTCAGGTGCTGTAATACAGGTGAACTAAGATACACCATCTGGCATTTTAGTGATTAGAGACAATTAAAATTAACAGCAACAATCTGTCCAAAGATACCTACGGAACAACTTAAAGGACAACATGAACGAGGGAAAGTTATTTGGGAACTGCTGCATACTTTTTTCTTTTTAAAGAAGTAATATTTTAAATGGATCAAAATGTATAAAAGAGAAGAGAAAAATCAGAGTATATAGAAGAAACCAAGTCTGAATCTATATTTTCTCTGTTCACATAGCCTTATTGAGTAACCTAAAAACACTAAGTTTAGAAAATTCCCATCACCCCTGCCTAGGCTAGATGAATTTCCTACAGAAAAAACCACAGACCTTAAGATTTATTCTGAAAATGCTAGTATTAGTTACTACTGGTAGATATGGCCATAGTCCCAAGCCCATTTCTGTGTGTCAGAGCACGTGGCTTCAGAGCAAACTCTGACCATAAAGGTACCAGCACACACGATGCCAACCTGTGAAATGTTCAGTGAACTCCTGTTCCAGTTTCATGGCTCTCTCAAACGTCTTTCTGGCTTGTTCTTCTGTTAGACGCTTATTCATTTCCCTATGCAAATAAATTTAGAAACTGGTAATTACTACATTATAATGCTTCTTAAAAAAAGATGACAAGAGAGGAGATACAGAAAACATATGTTCAAATTGTAACTTCATTATTCATTAGCTGTCGGACCCTGGGCAAGTTACTTAACCACTCTCTGCCTTAGTTTCTTCACCTATGAAATGGGATACTAACAGCATTTACCTTCACAGAGTTTTTGAGAAGTATAATATACGTAAAGCATGTAGAATATAGCCTGACACACAGAAGCAAGCATCATGTATGAGCAAACCATGACTGTTTCTTCAGGGGATATAATTCAAACTATAGTGTCAGCAAAGCATAATTAGTGTTGGTAAATATTTCACCAAAGCTCTTTCATATAATAAAGCTAAATGCAAATGTTTTATATTAAGTGATGCTTTAGATTTCCTCTTTCAGCTCTGGCTGTGCAGTGACACATTAGGCAGTTTTGGAAGGTCTGAACGCTCAGCCATTGAAAACAGCGAGGCTTGAGATTGAATGGCTTTCTATCACAGAGTTATAAAAAGGTACTCTTGAGACCCACTTCCAGAATGCTGGTGTAAGGAACTCTGTGGACCTGCTCCATTTAAAGTCTCTGGAAATGTCCTAAGGGCACACAGCAAAGGAGAAAACATTTATGCAAGAAAGCCTACTAAATCTTGGTAAGAATAATGAGTCTCTGGCACTTGAGCCACAACCCACTCCCTCCCCTGCCCGCCAGCTGGATGTGACGGAAGCACCATCCCAGGTGGATAAGGCCAAGAAGTCAGGGTTCCCTCTCCTTACAGCTCCCAGTCACAGGATGGGTGTCGCCAGGAGGGGCAGGCTGCCAGTATTTCTCTTCCCTACCATCTTTGTGTTACAGAGGCTAAATCCCAGGCGAGTGTGGCTGAAAGGTTGGGGGCTCCCTTCCTCCACTGAGCCCCCAAATGTAGAGTGTTGGGCTAAGAATGGAAACCCTGGTAGCTTAGTGGTTAAGTGCTACAGGTGCTAACCAAAAGGTCAGCAGTTCAAATCCACCAGGCGCTCCTTGGAAACTCTATGAGGCAGTTCTACTCTGTCCTATAGAGTCGCTGAGTCAGAATCGACTCAACGGCAATGGGTTTGATTTGTTTTTTTTAGTTTGGGTCAAACATACTGGGGGTCTAATTGCTCTCTCTCTAGCTGGCGCATAAAACAGAGGTTCTATGAAGAGGCAAGCCAAGAAAAACAGACGCTGCCGCTCCCACCCAGCACCCTCCTTGAAAGTAGGGGTGTAACTCCTAGAGAACTGGGCTACTATCCCCGCCACTAGCTCTGGCACAGTAACTCAAACATTTTGTACAGTGGGAGAGGCAGGCCAAAGAACAGAGAGCTCTGAATCAAGCTCTTCCCAAAGGAACTGATTTTAGAACACAGTGCAGGGAAGTTCAAGCCTAAGGGCGTTCTCAAAAACAATGGAGATTTTGGTGGTTAGCCATTTAAGAGGAGACTGGTAGCTCCATGAGAGGAACAAGTTAAACTGTAGGCCAGCCAGTTTACCAGAGAGAACCAAAGAGAAGGTTAGGAAGAGCCTTCCTGAGGTCAGGACAAACTCAAATACTGGCCTCAAAAACTACTTCTGCAAAGGGGCACAGATTTAACAGGATTAGATTGTGAAGCAATTTTCCCCAGAGCATCATCAAAAACAGACCAATCGGCTTGCGATTAGTGGAGCCTAACAGCTGAGAGTGATACCAACAGAGGCAGACACTTTAACAGTGAGAGCAGGGAAGGAGGCACTCAGAGAGCTCTGGTAAAACTACCTACTGTCCTGGCAGGGCTAATTTGCTTATGCCCAAGGCCGAGCCTTCTGATGACAGACATGAGAGGCTTCACATGGGGGGAGGATGAAAATGGTCTCTTAAAAATTTCATTTTCTAATCATCTGATGCTGGTAGAAATACAGTTTATTTTTGTATGATGACTGTATTGAGAAGTCTTGCTAAACTCATTTTTCAAAATCCTACTAATTTATCTAGAGATTCTTTTGTATTTTCTACATATATAATCATACAGCCTGTGAATGATGAATTTTATTGCTTCCTTTTAACCCTTACATCTTTTTTGTTTTATTTCATTAACTATGATCCTCAGTACAATCTGGTAGAAAAGCAGTGATAGCAGACATGCTTGCTTGTTCCCAAAATCCATGCAAAAGCTTTCAATATTTCACCATTAAGTATGACGTTTGTTTTGATATTTTTGTAGATGACCTCCAGATTAAGGAAGTTCCTTTCTATTTCTAGGTTTGCTAAATGTGTTTGTCATGGATGGATGTCAAATGCTTTTTCTGCATTTAAGAAAATGATACTATGATTTACTCTGATAATCTGTTAATGAGATGTACTACATTAACTGATTTTTAAAAGTTCAACCAGCCTCGAATTTGTGGTAGTTAGTTCTTTTCTTTCTTTCTTTTCTTTTTTAAATTAATGGCTGGATTCAATTTGCCAATATTTTGGTAAGGATTTTTGCATTTATATGCATGATTAAGATTGGCCTGTCATTTTCCCTTCCTGTAAAGTCTTTGTCAGGTTGGTATCAAATGAATGCCCACAAAATTAGACGAAAAGCACTCCTCCTTTTTGTTTTCCCTGGAAGAATGTGTGTAAGATGGGGTATGTCTTAACTTGGTAGAATTCAGGAAGTCATCTCAGCCTAGTGTTGTATTTGTGGAAAGGCTTTTTATGATAGATTCAAGTTCTTTACAGACAGAGGACTATTTTGATTTTCCATTTCTTTTTAATCTTGTTAACATTTTTATTGACTTTTTTTTTTAAGTATAATTTTCAGAAAGGAGCAGTATCATGGGTATATAGCTTGATAAGTTTTCACAAACTTACACATACTCGCATACTTTGAACCTAGCTCAAGATATAGAACATTACCAGTGCCCTAGAATCAGGGTGTGCTAATCCCAGTCACCAACCTTACCCTCAAAGGGGAACCTCTGTTGTTAGATGCCGTTGAGTCGGTTCCGACTCATAGCAACACTACGTACAACAGAACGAAACACTGCCTGGTCCTCACGATTGTTGCTATGTCTGAGCCCACTGCTGCAGCCACTGTGTCAATCCATCTTGTCCAGGGTCTTCCTCTTTTTCACTGACCCTCTACCTTACCAAGCATGATGTCTTTCTCCAGGGACTGGTCCCTCCTGATAACATGTCCAAAGTATGTGTGATGAAATCTCACCATCCTCGCTTCCAAGGAGCACTCTGGCTGTATTTCTTCCAAGACAGACTTGTTCGTTCTTTTAGCAGTCCATGGTATATTCAATACTCTTCACCAACACCATAATTCAAAGGCTTCTGTCTTCCTTATTCGTTGTCCAGTCTTCTCATGCATATGAGGTGACTGAAAATACCATGGCTTGGGTCAGGCGCACCTTAGTCCTGAAAGTGACATCTTTGCTTTTCAACACTTTGAAGAGGTCTTTTGCAGCAGATCTCCCCAATACAATACTTCCTTTGATTTCTTGACTACTGCTACTATGGACTTTGATTGTGGATCCAAGTAAAATGAAATCCTTGACGACTTCAATATTTTATTCGTTTATCATGATCCAGCTTATTTGTCCAATTGTGAGGATTTTTTCTTTTCTTTAATGTGAGGTTTAAGCTGTAGTCTTTGATCTTCATCAGTAAGTGCTTCAGTCCTCTTCACTTTCTGCAAGCAAGGCTGTGTTATCTGCATACTGCAGGTTGTTAATGAGTCTTCCTCCAATCCTGATGCCACGCTCTTCTTCACCTAGTCCAGCTTCTCAGATTATTTGCTCAGCATACAGACTGAGTAAGTACGGTGAAAGGATACAACCCTGACGCATACCTTTCCTGACTTTAAACCACGAAGTATCCCCTTGTTCTGTTCAAATGACTGCCTCTTGGTCTATGTACAGGTTCCTCATGAGCACAATTAAGTGTTCTGGAATTCCCATTCTTTGCAATGTTATCCATAATTTGTTCTGATCCACATAGTCAAATGCCTTGCTTGCGAAGTCAAATAAAACAAAGGTGAACACTTTCTGGTATTCTCTACTTTCAGCCAAGATCCATCTGACATCAGCAATGATGTGCCTCGTGTTACATCCTCGTCTGAATCTGGCCTGAATTTCTGGCAGTTTCCTGCAGATGTACTGCTGCAACTGCTTTTGAATCATCTTCAGCAAAATTTTAGTTGCATTTGATATTAATGCTATTGTTCGATAATTTCTGCATTCTGTTGGATCACCTTTCTTTGGAATGGGTACAAATAGGTATCTCTTCCAGTCGGTTGGCCAGGCAGCTGTCTTCTAAATTTCTTGGCATAGATGAGCAAGCACCTCCAGAGCTGCGTCTGTTTGTTGAAACATCTCAATTGGTATTCTGTCAATTCCAGGAGCCTTGTTTTTTGCTAATGTCTTTAGTGCAGCTTGGACTTCTTCATTCAACAGAATCAGTTCTTGATTATATGCTACCTCCTGAAATGGCTGAATGTCAACCAGTTCTTTTTGGTACAGTGAGACTCTGTGTATTCCTTCCATCTTCTTTTGATGCTTCCTATGTCATTCAATATTTTCCCTGAAAATCTTTCAATATTGCAATTCAAGCCTTTAATTTTTTCTTCAGTTCTTTCAGCTTGAGAAATGCCAAGCATGTTCTTCCCTTTTGGTTTTCTAACTCCAGGTCTTCGCCTATTTCATTATAATACTGTTTTCTTGAGCCACTCTTTGAAATCTTCTGTTCAGCTCTTTTACCTCATTTCTTCACTTTAGCTACTTGATGTTCAAGAGCAAGTTTCAAAGTCTCTTCTGACATCCATATTGGTCTTTTCTTTCTTTCCTGTCTTTTTAATGACATTTTGCTTTCGTCATGTATGATGTCCTTGATGTCATTCCACAACTCGTCTGGTCCTCGGTCATTAGTGTTCAATGTGTCAAATCTATTCTTGAGATGGTCCCTAAATTCAGGTGGCATATACTCAAGGTTGTATTTTGGCTCTTGTGGACTTGCTCTAATTTTCTTCAGCTTCAACTTGAACTTGCATATGAGCAATTGATGGCCTGTTGTGCAGCTGGCCCCTGGCCTTGTTCTGACTGATGATATTGAGCTTCTCCATGGTCTCTTTCCATAGATGTAGCTGATTTGATTCCCAGAAAGGTCCACATGTATAGTTGCCGCTTATGTCATTGAGAAAAGGTATCTGCAATGAAGTCATTGGTCTTGAAACACTGTATCATACAATCTCTGGCACGTTTCTATCACCAAGGCCCTATTTTCCAACTACTGACCCTTCTTCGTTTCTAACTTTCATATTCCAATCACCAGGAATTATCAATGCATCGTGACTGCATGTTTGATCAATTTCAGACTGCTGAAGTTGGTAAAAGTCTTCAATTTCTTCATCTTTGGCCTTAGTGGTTGGTGTGTAAATTTGAATAATAGTTGTATTAACTGGTCTTCCTTGTAGGCGTATGGATATTATCCTATGACTGACAGCATTGTACTTGAGGGTAGATCTTGGAATGTTCTTTTTGACGATGAATGTGACGTCATTCTTCTTCAATTTATCATTCCTGGCATAACAGACCATATGATTGTCTTATTCAAAATTGCCAGTACCAGTCCATTTCAGCTCAGTAATGCCTAGGATATCAATCTTCATGTGTTCCATTTCATTTTTGATGACTTCCAATTTTCCTAGATTCATGCTTCGTACATTCCACGTTCCGATTATTAATGGATGTTTGCACCTGTTTCTTCTCATATTGAGTCGTGTCACATCAGTAAACGAAGGCCCTGAAAGCTTGACTCCATCCATGTCATTAAGGTCGTCTCTACTTTGAGGAGATAGCTCTTCCCCAGTTGTATTTTGAGTGCCTTCCAACCTGAGGGGCTCATCTTCTGACAATGTATCAGACAATGTTCCGCTGCTATTCATAAGATTTTCACTGGCCAATTTTTTCAGAAGTAGACTACCAGGTCCTTCTTCCTAGTCTATCAAAGTCTGGAAGCTCTGCTGAAACCTGTCCACCATGCGTGACCCTGCTGGTATCTGAAATACCAGTGGCATATCTTACGGCATCACAGCAACACGCAAGCCACCACAGTAAGGCAAACTGACAGACAAGTGGTGGTTGCTCAGCATAGAGACTGAATAAGTATGGTGAAAGGATACAATCTTGATGCACACCTTTAAAATCATACAGTATCCTCTTGTTCTGTTCTAACGACCGCCGCCTCTTGGTCTATACATAGATTCTGCATGAGCATAAGTAAGTCTTTGGTAACCTCTATAAGACTTCTACTAACAATGTCTCATAGGGTAACTGCTATTAGACTTGTATAAACAATGATTAATTGGCTGTTCCTGAACTTTATATAAATAAAATCAGAGTATATACTTTTGGGTTTGGGTTTTTTTTTTTTTTTAAACTCAAATTATGTTTGTGAGATTTTTCCATACTTTTGTGTGTAGCTGAAGATTGTTCATGCTCATTATTGCTGAATATTTCACTGTGTAAATATGTCATGATTTATTAATCTAATTCACTGCTGATGGGTATCTGGATAGCTTCCAGTTTTTGGTTATGTTGAATAGTACCCGTCAGCAATCTAGCACATGTCTTCGGTGAACATTTGTTAGCCTTTCTGTTGAGTATACATCTAGGAATTGGACTGCTGGGTTACAGGTTGTGTGTGTGCTGAGCTTTAGGAGATACTGTAAATAGTTTCCCCATGTGGATGTACTAATTTACACTCCTACCAATGTTGTAAGTTTCAGTTGTTCCATATCCTTGCCAACACTGGGTATTTTGTGTCTTTTTCATTTTAGTTATCCTGGTCCGCGGGTAGTATTACATCACATTGCAGTTTTAATTTGTATTTCCATGATTAATTGAGCAACATCTGACATTTTTATTGGTCACTGGAATATCCTCTTTTGAGAAGTTCTCTGCCCATTTTTCTACTGAGTTGCCTCTGTTACCTTTTTTAATGTCTACTGGATGTGCAGTGATGTCCCCCTTTTCATTCCTGATTATTATTTATGCCTTCTTTCTTTTCTTGATTGTTCTTATAATGGGCCTATCAACTTCATTAGTGCTTTCTAAGAAAATATTTTGGCTTTGTTGATACTCTCTACTGTGTTTGTTTCTATTAATTTATTTCTGATCTATCTTCTTTGTGTATAAATGATTAACCTTTTTCTAGTTTCTCAAGATCTCTGACTCTCCACACTTCTTATATACATATTTAAAGGTGCCACGGTGGTGCAATGGTTAAGTGCTTGGCTGCTAACTGAAAGGTCAGCAGTTCAAACCTACCCGCTGCTCTGCAGGAGAAAGATGTGGTGGTCTGCTTCCATAAAGATTACAGCCTTGGAAACCCTATGGGGCAGGTTCTACTCTGTCCTTTAAGATCGCTATGAGTTGGAATCAACACCAGGCAATGGGTTTGGTTTTTTTTTTTTTGGGGGGGGCGCTTGATATACCTATTTAAAGTTCTGCATTTTCTTTCAACAAGGCTACATCCCTCAAATGTGACACTTTCATTATCATTTAGTTCAAAACATTTATTGATTTACACTGTGATTTCTTCTTTGACCTATTCATAAGTATAATGCTTACTTTCCAAATATGTATAAATCTCATAGTTATTTTTTTTTCATTGATTTCTAGCTTCTCTGTGGTTAGAGAATATTTGTTTTCAGTAATTTGAAATCTGTGGCTCAGCAGATGATCAGTTTTGGTAATTGTTCCACGTGCACTTGAAATCAATGTGTATTTTGCTGATGTTGAGTGCAGTGTTCTATATATGTCAATTAGGTAAAGTTTTTAAATTTGTTGTTCTATATTCTTACTGATTTTTTGTTGGTTTTATTCCATCATTTACTGACAGGTGTGTCAAAATCATCCTATTATGATTGTGGAATTATTTTTCTGTATAGTTGTCAATTTTTGCTTTATATATTTGAGACTATGCTATTAAATGCATACAAATATATAAATATTGTATCTTCCTGGTGGGTTGAACCTTTTATTTTGATGAAATGTCCCTCTTTATCTCTAGTAATACTTGTCTTAAAGTATACTTTGATAGTCATACAGAAGCAGTTCGCTTTGGTTAATGTTTCCATGGTATGTCTTTTTCTATTATCTTACTTTCAACCTTTCCATATCCTTTTATGTCTCCTGAATGCAACATACAGTTGTTTACTTATTTCATAATCCATCCTGACAATGTTTGTCTTCTAATTGGACCTTTTAGTCTAATATTTAACTCTATTAGGGTTCATTTATACCATCTTACTATCTCTGCATCCTATCTGCCCTGCCTGTTCTAGGTTTCTTTTTTCTTCTCTTCCTTCTGTCTTTTCTTTCTTTTAAATTCCATTCTGTCTACCTATCTGTTAGGTAACTAGTTATATATTCTTTTATTCTCAATGGGAGGGTTGCAGTGCCCAATTCAGTAGCCACTAGCCACATGTGGCTATTTAAACATAAAGTTCTAATACATGTTACCGTATACCTTAGTAATAAGATAATAGCAATTTTAATATAATTTAAAATAATATGATAATAGCTTATTTAATCCTCAAACCAACTCTATTTTATAAAGAAACTGAGATGCAGGGAGGGTAAATAAATTACTCAAGCTAATAAGTGGCAGAGACTGGATCTGTATTTAGAGGTTGTACCTTAAACATTTACACTTACATGATATTTTCCATGGATTTGGGTTTAATAAAAATGGAGATTGGGTAAAGTTGTGCAATCTGTAATCTCTTTATGGCATTTCCAGACACATCGAGGATACAGTGTTTGCCCTAAAACAGGGGGAAGAAGAACAAAAACATGGGAACCAAGTCTTTTCAATTATACCAATGGTACATTTATTACAGGTACAAAATCTGGATTATGGTATGTTTCGATCCTTGTTCACTGTAAGCAAACTGGTCATTTATGTTAGCAAGTTTTAGAAGGGCAAAAAGAAATGAAGACAATGATTATGAATAATTTTACCATTATCAAATATTAAACTTAAAAAGGAATGAAAACACACTTCCCATACTCCTAGATTTCAGAGACCAGTGTTCTTTCAAAATGGATTTTAGTAATGAATATCGTGTTGCTATCTTTTATTTTGCCAAGAAAGGATATTTAAAAAAAAAAAGGACCACAAATTACCATCTCACCATAACCATTATTTCATAAAACATATGACACCCATGTACCCACTGCCTATTTATACCAGATATTAATATTTTACATGATTGCTTAAAAATTTTAAAAACTTGTTATTTTGAAATGATTTTAGACTTTCAGAAAAGTTGTAAAAATAATATAGAGGATTCCCACATACCGGTCACTCAGACACTAAAATACTAACAATCTATGATGTTTGCTTTATTTTTCATTCTCTCCGTATGTATCTAATAGCAGAGAGTAAACTACAGACACAAAGCTTCTTTACCCTGTATTTCCTAAAAACAATCAAATCTCTTACACTACTACAGTATAATTCTAGTCAACCATCTAATGTCCTTTACTGCAAGAGGAAAAAATTCCTGGTCCACGTTCCAATCCAGAGTCATACATTGCATTTATGTCTCTTTAGTGTCCGTCAATCTGGACAGTTCCTCAGTCTTTGTCTTTTGTGATCCTGACATTTTTGAAGAGTACAGGACATTCATTTCAGAGACTATGCATCAACCTGGGTCTGCCTGATGCTCTCTATCAGAATTCAGGTTACACATTTTTGGCAGGAGTACCACAGAAGTGATGCTGTGTCCTTCTCAGTCCATCATAACAGGAGGCATATGACATGTATTTGTCTTATTATTGGTGATGTCATTTTGATCACTTGTTTAAGATTTTGTCTGCAGGTTTCTCCACTGTAATGTTACTATTTTTCCCTTTGTAACTGGTAAGTATTTTTGGGGAGATATACTGAGAATGTAAATATCTTGTTTCTCATCAAATTTTCACCCACTAATTTCAGCAAACACTGATAATTCTTGCCTGAAACAATTATTACCATGGTAGTTGTCAAAAGAGATTTTCTAATTTCATCATTCCTTCTACACCTTTATTAGCTGACTTTCTAATGTATGGTAAAGCATTCTCCCCTCTACCTATTGATTTATTTATTCATCCATTTATATCATTATGGACTGTTAAGTTCTTATTTTATTCTATGTGCTATAATCAGTTACTATCATTATTTATTCTGATATTCAAATTATCTCTGATTTGGCCAGTGGGGGACCCTACAAGTTGGCTCCTGTTTCTTTCTGACATATCCTCCTCATTCTTTGAACACTTATCTTTCTGGCACAGGAAGATTCTCTAGGCTCATCTCGTATCTTCCCAGCCCTAGCCTTGGAGTCAGCCATTTCTCCAAGGAGTCCTGGATCTTTTAAATGGAGAACGGGGTTTAGAAGCCAAGATCTGAGAATTAGATTCTCATTGCTTACCAAAACCCAAACCAAACCTACTGTCACGGAATCGATTTTGACTCACAGAACCCTACAGGACAGAGTAGAACTGCCCCACTGGGTTTCCAAGGAGCGGCTGGTGGATTTGAACTGCTGACCTTTTGATTAGCAGCCAAGATCTTAACCACTGAGCCACTAGGGCTGCTCTCATTGCTTACTGAGGTGTCACTGTTTTAATGTCCTTTTGGTGGACAAAGAAACTTTGTATACACACACACACAAACACTACATCTATATTAAAATTCATGGATTCATCTTTGTATCTCTAATTCTAAGCCAATACTAGAGTTCACTCTACTCTCCGCTTTCTGTATTTATAAACTTCTTCTCTGACAGTGAAAAACTTGGCTACCACTACTGTCAATATATTTACTTATTGGCTCATTTCTAGACTATACATCAAGTAGCTTCAGAATTGCTAGCCCATACCATTCTGAAAAATGTACTTACTAATTGATTAGAGTTCAATATTTGTTTACAGATATTTTTGTCTTTAGCCTGTGTTCAAGAACTACTGGGGTTAAATCTTCTCCTCTCCATCTCTCTTCAAAGCAGTTACATTATTCATTTGAAATATAGTTAGGTTCATTTAGTTTCTGTTTGTATATTATTTTCCTTTCCTCCTACTCATTTGTTGACTTTATTTTTTATTTTTTTTGAGTGTATGATATTAACACAATTCTAAAAGCCAAAATTATACAAAAAGGTATACTCAGAGAAATGCCATACCTCCATCCTTCTTATCTCATTCTCAATTCCCGTTCCTCTGAAGGTAACCAATCTCAGTAGTTTCTGATTTATCCTTTCTGTATTTCCTTTTGCACAAATGAGCAAATAGATGTATATTTTCTCATTTCCTCTCCTTTCTTACACAAAAGGTAAGCAGTTCATAAACACTTGGCTTCACAGAACTCAATTGTGTTGGTATAAAGTACATTATTCAATCATTCTTTTATGTATGAGCATTTAAACAGTTTCCAATATTTGACAATTACAAACAATGCTGCAATGAATACCCTTGTGCACATGTAATTTTGTATTGTTGGGGGGTATCTTTGGGATTGTTAGGTCGAAGGGTAGATGCATACATAATTTTGCTAGATTACAGACAAATTTTTCTATAAAAGATTATACCAGTTTGCATTTCCACCAGGAAAAGAATGTTGTTCCATAATTTTTTTTTTTTTTACCTATCTGATAGGTAAGGTTAGGCATCATATATTATGCAGAAGGGTCATTTTAATCTTATTTTTGTATGAATTATCATATCTTTTGCCCATTTTTCTATTGGGCTTTTCATCTCCATTCCTCAATTTTCAAGAGTTCTTTATATACTGAGAATATTAGCCCTTTATCTGCAAAATTTGTCTCCTAGTTTGTCAGTTTTTGACTTTTTTAATGGTGTTTTTTGATTATCTTTTGGCCATACAGAAGTTTTTTATTTTTACCTAGTCAAATTCATCAATATTTTCTTTTATTGCATCTGGATTTTGATTCATGGTTAAAAATTCTTCCCTATGCCTAGGTTGGAGCCCTGGTGGCGAAGTGGTTAAGGGCTCAGGCTGCTAACCAAAGGCTGGCAGTTCGAATCCACCAATGCTCCTTTGAAACTCTAAGGGGGCAGTTCTACTCTTGTCCTACAGTGTTGCTATGAGTCGGAATTGACTCCATGGCACACAACAACAAGCCCAGGTTATATGCTTCCTTCAGGCAATTGCATTATTTTTTTGAACATTTATAGCCCGTTCCATTTAGAGTTTATTTTTGTGTATGGTGTGAAGTATGAACCTAATTTAACTCTTCCAGTTGTCCGAGCACCATTTATTAAAAGCCCCAGTGATTTGAGATGGTACCTTTATCACGTAATAAATTTCCATACATACTTGGGTCTTTTTCTGGACTCTTATTTCTACTTCACTGGTTTATGTATTCATGTGCCAGTACCACATTGTTTTAAAGAAAAAGAGTTTATAGTATGCTTCAATATCCAGTAGGGCTAGAATCCCTGTAGCTATTCCTTTTGTGTTGTCCTGGATTCCTACATAAGAACTTCAATTTAACTTTCTAGCTACATAAAAAAACTGGCAGGTATTTTTACTGGGATTGTGTTTAACATATAAATTAACCTAGAACTGATAGCTTTATAATATTGAGTTGTCCTAGCCAAGAATACGGGATATCTTTCCAGTTGCTAACTGAAAGGGCTGCTAACCAAAAGGTTGGCAGTTTGAACTCACCAGCCATTCTGTGGGAGAAAGATGTGGCAGTCTGCTTCCATAAAGATTACAGCCTTGGAAACCCTATGGGGCAGCTCTACTCTGTCCTACAGGGTCATGATGCGTCGGAATGGACTCTATGGCAGTGGGTTTTCCAGTTGTTCAAGTCTACTATTGGGTCTTTAAGGAGTGTTTTACACTTTTCCTCATAAAACTTTATATATATTTTTTCTCTTTATATATATTTCTTATCAAGTATTTTATCTTCTATTTCTTATATTATAAGTGGGGTTTCCTCTATCATTGTATCCTCTAAATGGTTATTGTTTATGTATACGAAGACTATTGACTTCTGCATTTAATTTTATATACTGCTACCTTACTCTAGTCTTTTACTTTACAACAGTCGTTCCTTTTAAAATTCATTCTGCATGGTTTTTCAGGTATACTATCATATCAACTGCAAACAGACAGCTTTACTTTTTTCTGAGCACTTCGTATGCCTCTAATTGATTTCTCATCTTATCAGCACTCACTAATACCTCTAGTACAACGCTGAAGAGTAGTACAGGTATTGGGCCTCCTTGCCTTGTTCATAATGAAATTGCCTCTAGTGTTTCTCTCATTTAAGATTTAAAATTAAGAATTTATTTATCCATCCATTCATTTCAATTCTTATATTCTTTTTTTTTTTTTCCCTCATGCTTTTTTTTAAAATTGTTTTTGTTTTTCCTATTCAACATAGGGACAAATTATTCCATAAAATTAAAAAAAATTTACTGTGCTTCAGAAGAAGGTTTACAGAGCAAATTAGTTTCTTATTAAACAAGTAATAGACATATTGTTTTGTGACATGGATTGCCAACCCTGTGATGTGTCAACATTCTCCCCTTCTCAACCATGGGCTCCCCATTTCCATTTGTCCAGCTTTCCTGTCCTCTCCTGCCTTGTCATCCTTGCCCCTGGGCAGCTGTGTCCATTTAGGCTCATACACATGGCTGAGCTATGTGTATTATTGTTTTACGGGCCTGTCTAATCTTTGGCTGAAGGGTGAACCTCAGGAGTGATTTCAGTACTGAGTTAAAAGGGTGTCCAGGTGCCATACTCTTGGGG